TTTTAAGCATTTTTGGAGTCAAATTCAAGAGTAAGTATTTGTACTTAAAAATAATCTATTCTCAGTATTCTTCAGGGGCCTCTATCACTTCCGGGGCCCTAGGAGCCCACTGGATTGCAACTTGACAGAAAAGCGATTAGTTACTGAATTGACCCAAAATAATTTTCCTCTTTTTCCTAACTAGTTCCTCACAACCACTTTTCAAGTTGACTTTCAATAATTTCTAATTTTGTGGTTTGAAATCAGGAGGCTCCTCCTATCAAACAGCTCCATTTGTCATAAATACAATACAGTCCTTACAGGGATCCTGTAGCTATAAGAGAGCATTTCTCGATAAGAAAAAAAGATCTTGGTAGAACAGTTGACGCGACTTTGAGCTTGAGCTTTCACTTTTTCGAGTCTTAGCGCGTTTTTCTTGTCATAGTTTATTATGTTCAATTTTTTATCTAAGATTTTTTCATATTCACTCGTCCACGCGCCAACACTGTTGCCGATGACCCAAAAAGCAGAGATATTACAGCTGCTTGGTCCTCGACTACCACGAAAAGGCAACATCGATGCTGTCTTACTTTTCTATTGCTGCGTTTGAGTCTCCAGAAGTACGTCCATCAATTGAGTGGAATATGCTCCAGTCCTACTTGATTTTTTAAAAGGAGACCAAGATGACATCATGCCTTGAAGTTTTCACAGAATTTTCTTCGCATACAGAGTAGAAAAATCACAGCTGTTTTCAAGAATTGCCGTTGAGTAGTTTTCTATTTGAAAAATGATATGACGTCGCACACCGAGAGACGTTATTGGGAACTTACACCGTCGAAATTCTATCGTTTGATCGGATGTAGCCTAAATCAGCCCAACTGCATTTCTCGCTGCATTATTTTAGCTCATGTTGTATTTTTTTAAGCTGGCAGTCAAGAATACCCATACCCTTATTGGAGAGTCAATGGGGAAAAAAGTAATGGAGGACCGAGCAAAGTCGGAGAATAAGAGCAGAATGACCTGCAAAAGACTGGAAAATTGCGTTAACGGCAACGGAGAATGATGGCGTTAATTTCGCATCACGGACACGTAGTTTTGGGCGTTTTTCTCATCCGAATTCAAAATATCCTGGTCCATGGTATATCCATGGTCAATGTACAAAAATTCGTTTCTCCATTGCAACGTTTCAAAGACTCGCCGATTATATACACTTTCAAAATAAAATATGAGCGGATCCTCGCAAGGTCGTAATCGGAGTTACGCATTTTTCTACTTCAACCATCAAAATATTTCTTGTCAGCTTATCTTATGTCGCCTCAAAAGTTGAGGAACTGTCCCCAAGATGGTCAGAGGAAATATAATGAAGTTAAGAAATTCAAACTTGTAATTCTTTGTACTCTGTAACACCATGCTAACGGAGAAAGTCGTTCATTAATTTAAATGTTGCCATGTGCATGGATTTAATGCTCCCAATTTCTCCGGCCAATTAGAGGTAAATATTCATTTTTGGGAAAATAAGATCCAGTCAACTTAAAAATGCGATTAATGTAGTTCTCCTCGAAATTCTCATGGACAGTTCTTTTAAATGCAATTTGCAAGTGGAGAACTCTCTGAAAATTTCAAAGAAAATATTCACAAGTTTTCTAGGAAATTCACGTTATATCAAAGGAAATTTGGAACAGTTAAAATGTTGATACACTATTAGGGCCGGATTTACCTACATGCCGCCTGTATTTTGCCGCCCCCTTCTCATTCGTTTTGAAACATCATATTTTTAACAACCCTCAAGCAAACGTCCTGGAGGGGGAGGGGTGAACACATTTTGTGTGAAAGCCCCGTTAACACTACTGGCAAGAGTTCACGGAACTTGGCGCGAAAGTGAAGTTCCGTGAACCTATCTCTGTGTAGACAAAGCCTCCCATTTATAAGAAATGAACGAACAAATTATGAAAGAACAAAAATAAATGTGATTTAATAATTTTAACTTCCGCCGCCACGCCGCGCTGACCGCACTGTGTTTGGCACAATACGTGAAGTATTCCTACTGTCTTGTAGGCGCTATGCATGCGTTTCACGCCGCCGATCGCTGGGCTGAGCATATTGTGTTTGACGCAATGCGAGAAGTATTCATGCAGTCTTGTTGGCGCTATGCGTTTCACGCCGACCGCTGCTGACCGCTCTGTGTTTGACGCAATACGTGTAGTATCCATGCAGTCTTGTAGGCGCTAATCGATGGTGAAAGTGCAGAAGTGCGTATCTCGATTTTTGACAGTTTTGAGTTAGCTGCATAAACGTGTAGTTGAAGATGTCTTCTATCAGCCAGCAAGACATTATAATCGAAAAAAATCGAGAAGTCACCTAAGACCGTAGAACTTTTTTCGCGTATCTCGAGCTTAAGTGCAGGAATACGTATCTCGTTCAGGCCTGTTCATTTTTCGGCGCGCCTTACGCACAACCAATCACAACGCGCGCTCCTCAGCAGCGTTTCCCGCCAACACCGCACATCAGCTGATCAGCTGTTCTGTGTTTGTTTTCAGTGGTTTTCATTTATCCATCTAAAAGAAAAGTTGATGTGGATAATCAGGCAGTCCAGCATGCATAATATCAGTGAATGCATGGTGATAGGCCGATAGACGAGGGAAGGGAGGATTAGGTACTGTTCCTTGTCATTAATGTTGCATTCGCTTGTAATTGAAGGCGGATTATCACTCGAGGGCCCTCCAGTATCATTTCTTCATCGGTATCTACTACCTACTAGCAGCGCGCGGCGTTCATGTCCATTTTTACTCTCTGGGCCAATGCAATCATGAACTGATTGAACTGACGGTTCATCGCCACGGTCAGTTTTATCAAGGTCAATCCGGTCAAACAATGCTTCATTTAGTGTATTGGATCGACTAAAGCTTCTAAATAAGTTTTAAGGTTGAATAAATTCTACTTTTGATCTCAATGATCAAGAGTAGCTTCAAAACGCTAATTGCAGAAATGCGTATCTCGTAATCTAATGTCAGTTTCCAATCATACAATGTTTGATCCGGCCGTATGAGGTCAAACTAAAGCTTTTGATAAAGAATTGTAAGCATGAAACCCTTTTTTCAGTCTTTAAATTATCAAAATTCGCCGACAATGGGTTTAAAACACTAATTGCAGAAATGCGTATCTCGTGATAAAGTGTCAATTCTCAGTGCCGAAAACGCGAATCTCGGCATTTCGGCCGTATTTTCTAACAGTGCGAGAAATTATTCAAAATTTATTTATTTATCTATTTTATTTACTTATTTATTCTTTTGCTTTTTGCACATTTGGCTTCACAAAAACGTCATTTTCTAAATAAAGGTACTGATAGGTATAAACATATTTACATACAAATCGTCTTAAATTCATTCATTGACATTCAAAAATTCATTGATTGAGTACGGGCATTTTGCAATCAAATGCCTTGTGGCCAGCTTACCGAATGTTGGACTATATATCGACGGTGAAACTACCAAACCACGTATCTCGTTTGCGGTGTTTAAAAATCTACGCTCGCATTTTATTTTTTTGAAGTCGACCAAATCAATATCATTCCTTGAAATTTTCACAGAATTTTCTCCGCACAAAGAGGAAAAATCACAGAAATTTTCAAGACTAGACGTTAAGTAGTTTTTCATTTAAAAAATAATGTATGACAGGAAGTCTGCGACGTCGCAAACCGAGATACGCGGTTTGGTAGTTTCACCGTCGATATGCTTTCCTGTATAATATTTGGCAATTTATCAAAGAATTTCCATGCCTTTGTTAGGTATGTGTCGTTCTTTGATAAACTGCTAAATTGGTGATATCTTGTGCCATACCCATGTGTCTCTGCCTTGTCTCCCTTCAGCCTTTTAGCCAGTAATTTTAAGTGACTCATAATTATTTTGGCCGGTAATGTTAATATCTCATTTTTTATGAAGTGTTCTCGGCATGATGTATCTTGCTTCAGTTTCAGAATGGTTCTGATTGATTTTTTTTGGAGAATAAAGATTTTCTCTATCTGTTTATTACTCGCGCATGACCAAGTATTGATACAGTAATTTATATGAGACTCGACTAGTGCGTGATAGGCTAGTAGAAGAAGTTTTTTATCGCAGAATTTACTTAACATCCTCAGGACAAAAATTGACGAAGCTATTTTAGATCTTATTTTGTCAAATATTGATGAAGTCTGAAAAAGCATCTTATTCTTGCTATCCTCAAGAATTATTATCCTTCTACTGACAATAAGGAGGAATGTAGACTGTTTTTTTACTCTCCTGAAAAATCGTGTTTTCCGAGATGCGCACCTCTGCATTTTCACCATCGTAATGTGTTACATGCCGACCGCCGCGCCGCGCAGAGGGCTTCTCTTTTTCATATCAAGTCCTCGTCGTCATTGCTCTCTACTCTGCGCCGCGCCAAGCCAAATTGCGGGTCTGGTTTCTCTCTTAACTCTCCTAATTAAAGGTGCTGTCTCTTGTATCACCGAAAGACGACAAAATTAGAAATTACTATACTCTCAGGAAATGAGAGATTTTGTCGCCTTTTCTCGTTTGAAATTTTTTTCTGAATCCGATTTTTTTAATACCTGCAATTAAAAAAATTGCAAACTTTGCTGCCCCCTATATAAATTTGCCGCCATGGGCCGCAGCCCATGTGGCCACCCCCTAAATCCGGCCCTGTACACCATAGTGTTTTTGTTTGAAGCGCTGCAAATTTCAGTCTCTATCGTGCGTTTTGATCAGGACGGGAAGCATGGTAGGTGATATGGAATGAATGCAGCTTAAACCCGGTGAGTGAAACTTACTTAAGTAATTTCTTCAAAAATCGTCAACAATTATGATCCAATGGGGGTGCAATCACGAGAATTGATACCCTTTCACATTTTAATTGGAAAACACGAAACCACCATAATTTCTCGTTTTCGCGATGTTTCCCTCCTGGTGCTTGAGGAACACTTTCTGAAAGTTGCAAGCATTAAAGAGGGCCAAATGCCTTCAAAAAGTAAATTAAAAGCGGAAATTTAGCAAGACCGCAATCAACTACCTCCTTTTTTTCTCTATTCTCAGATTGAATTGCTCACGTAGGTCTTAAAGCACCACCAGAAATTACACAAATGGGAGCAAACACAATGTGGAAACAGAGAGCACGGGAGATGACGCGCGTTGATGACGGCGCAGAGATACAAATATTCGTGCTTGATGGATGACCGCGTTGCATCTGTAAAATTGAAGGCGCGACGGCGTGAGCCGTGAACTCGCAAAGTCGCAAAGCTCCGCCTAATGAGATGTCGCTTAAATGTGGGATAAGTGTCCAAAGAGGATGTTGACTTTCGATTTTTTTCTTTATTTTCAATTTGACGTCTGTTTTTTTTTTCGGGTTTAGGGTAGCCTGGGGTTAAGTGGGCACGGCGGGTTAACTGAACACTCGACCTAGCTGCCACCTGGTGGGCAAACTCAAAACCAACTACGCGTCAATTTCATCAGTTTATAGACCCTTACTAGTGTACCTTGCGCTGAGTTGATAATCTTTGTTTTTTTTGAAGTTATGTTTACAAACGTGTTTCGTGGGGCGAAAAGTAAATTCCCGGTGCTGTGAACTGAAGCCCAAATGACATATCTAGCTTTTGAGGAAGGCTTTGGTAAGTGCTTTATTGTTTCATCTATAGTTTTATGTACTATTTCCAGTGATTACTTTGGTAATTATTCCAATTGAGTACTATTTATGATTTTTTTTCTCTGAAATTCCGAAATGGGGTTAACTGAACACTACCAAATGGGGTTAACTGAACACTACCAAATGGGATTAAAGAGGGCATTCCCAGTTAGCCCCATAGATTACAAGTTAGCCAAAACATTCACTAAAACTTATTTTTGATTTTAATTGCAGTATTTTAACAACTAAAAGGAGAAAAAGGACAACCAACCATGGGACATATTCAGAAGTCATTGAAATAAGTTTTCCGTATCTCTTAGTGAAAATGTACATAATATAAGTATTAAGACAAACAAAAAATCATCCTCAGATGTATTTCTTTAATTTTTAAGACTTTTCCACTTGTTCATTTGACTTAATAAAAGTTTCCTCTTTCAAAAGTATGCTTTTTCATCTTAGTGTCCAGTCAACCCACCCCCAGTGCCCAGTTAACCCACCCCACGGGGTTAACTGAGCACTTTCCCATTTTTTACAAAATCTAAATTTTGACCATGAAGAAATTTAAAAAATGAAACATACTATTTTTTGCAGATACCTTACATTATACTGAAGACATTGTACTTTAAAGATTAACTCTATCTATCACCAAATTTGTTTTATGATTTTTCAAACAAAATGGTGCCCACTTAACCCCAGTCTACCCTATTCGTAGACCCATATTTATGAAGTTCGAATGAGCCGGTCCCACAACTCCCCCAAGAGAGACAGTTGGGTCAATCTGACTCGTCTTGGGCATGCGAAGGTTTATTGCAAGTTGGAAAATGTTAAAATGATGAATGTGACATCGACAATAATAAACATTTTTTGGATTGTAGATATTTATTTGTTCTTTACACGTACGAATGTCGTACACAGGGGAAAGAACCACATTTGATCTAGAGTCCAGACTCTTAAAAACATCGACAAGAAAAAATACTCTTGATTCAATCAGATTTAAGCTTAAATCAATAACCAAGCCTCTTAATTTGAGCGGATTTCCTTTTGATTTAAGATTAAATCTGATTGAATTAAAAGTCCTTTTTCTTGTCAATGTTTTCAAGAGTCTGGACTCTAGATCCAATGTTTTTTTTCCGGTGTATGAGCTCATATGAATTTCAATGGTGTAATTGTTTTTCTTTATTTCCATATTCGCTTTATTGCTTCCTCAATTAATTGCCACTTGCGATTTTTTTTTCTTTGTTAATTTTTGAAAAAAGATTTGGAATTTTTAAGCACATTTTATTGCATTAATAAATCGAATTAAGTAAGCGATGGAAAACACCCTGCTAGGCGCTAGCGTGGTATATGACGTCATTCCTTCGCGAGAAAAAACGGCCTGAATTTTCATTCACTGCAGTCATATCCCCTCGTCCTTTTTCACGGAATTTTGCACTCCTCGTCGTAGTCAGAGAAAGCTTTCGGCTCCAAAGCCGAAGAAAATCTATCCAAATCGCACATCCCGTCCTGATGAGCCATTGGATCCCCTTCGCAGCCCTTGATGTGCAGCACAGTCATGTCTCTGTCAAGCATGCCGCGCTTATATAAAATCTGGAAAGAAAAATTCGGACGTATTTAATCATTAAATATCGAAGCACTTAATTTCTGAAATAGAACACCAATCAGGTGTCTTCAACTTCGTCACAAAAATTACGGGAGAAGCGATAGCCCCCCCCCCTCCCACCTTTCCCCAAATGATAAGAAATCAAGGAAAACGAGAAGATACAAGCACTCACTTTTACTCGGTATTTACTGGTGCTGGTTTCGTGTAGTTCAAATATTAAAGCCGATCCGTAAATGGGTTTCTCCAACCCTAAGTCCTCGGAAATATCAATTGCTTGCCAGAGACGTCCTAATGTCGTATCGTGAGCTGAGAATATGTTCATGCGTCTTTCAAATTTTTCCGACGCATTAGTTTTCTTCCACATGCTGTCTAGAATGTCGTTTATCAAGATCCCTGTAAAGCGGAAAATGAAGATTCATGCAGAAAGTATGTTTCATAATATTTAAAAAATGTGAGTATTGAGGGGAAAAAACAACAACAATCAAAATGCAAGTATATACTTGAATATCTGGTAGTCTTAATGGAGCATTTCGTCAATTTTTTTGGCAAAAAGTGGAATATTTTCCTTGAGCTCAGTAAATAGCAGATTCTGCCTGCCTGGTATTTTCAATTTCAAGATTCGGCTGAAAGAGAATGACCACCAGCTTTCACTGAGAGCGGATGCGCCATTTTGAATTCCGCGCGCTTTTAATAATGAGACATCCCCTATCGCCTTGCGCGATAAATATGACGCTAAAATTATGCTGGAGGTCCACGAAAAATATATATTCATATTTAATTATAATGATCTTAAGACTCATATGACGATTTTAAAAAGAAAGTCATCGGTACACCTAAAAAAACTCCGGCTTCGGGAGCCGTAATTACGGGCTATATAGAACTATCGTGCGTTTTGAATGAAGAGACCGTAAGTCCCGGCCCGCATGCAGGAGTCAGAACATCGGCCTCTGAGCCGGGAGCTCTTTTTGCTACAGGTTTAGAGGCCGTTGCTCCGGCTCCTGAACCGGGGACTTACGGTCTCCTCACCGGCAACGCGCGGTAGTGCTATACGACCCATAATTACGGCTCCTGGAGCCGGAGTTTTTTTTTTTTTTTCAGTGTATATAGGGATATGTTGTGAAAAAATAGTCAAAAGAGACGGCTGCAAGAATGTGATCAACTGTTCATGCAGGTAGATCTGGAAAAGCGAATATTGTATCGAATTTGTTGCTAATAATTTAATAGGTAGTTCAATATAATATCAAACCAGATCGAAGTTTTCTTTGCAAGGGCGTATCGTAGAGTTGAAAGTAATTGATAGCTGCCAATTCTTGAAGTTTCTTGGGGTAAATCTCCCGAGCCCATTCTGGCACTTTGAAACCGTGTTGCTCCTGAAACCATACATTTTAAATATAAATCGACGGCGAGACTACGAAAGTACGTGCGGACCTCAATCATTTCATTTTTTCAAAATTTCCGTTCCCTCTTCATTTTTGGATGAATAATGAATGTCGATATTAAAAAAAAACTATTACTATATATGTCGGTCTGCGACGCGACTTTTCAAATATCCTGTCACATTTTATTCTTTTTAATACGGTCTAATCATCGTTTTTGCATCCAGTTCTGTTCGCGGTTTTTCGTAGTTCTACCTTCAGTATCCTCCGAAAAATTTGCGTAAAAATATCAAGCCGTATCCTCTTAAAATAATAAAATGCGGTTGGAAATTTCCAACCATGCTCTGATGGTTTCATTATCGATATTATCGGATATTTTTACATGCAATTTCTAGAATATATTCTTCAATGATCAAAATGTGCAAAGACCCTCAAACTTGTCGAGTTTAAGAGCCACCTTTCCAAGAGCCTTCCTGCTGACCATGCAACTATTCGGGCTCTGGTGTTGTGCGCATGCAGTGCTGCATGAATTATTGAAGGCGCGCTGAGATCTATCCATCTCAGTTCAGGATGGATTCAGCATGAATAACTCTCTCTGTGATTTACGGTTCACACGTTTACAGTGCCGATAAACACTTGCTTATACAGGCTCCGGCGACTAGAAAGGAATTGAAAGCATGACTGGAGGAAAATTAAAGAAATAGCAAATCAGAATACGAGTACAAACCGAAATCAGAAGATTATCGTGAATATCGTCAATATTTTGGATGGTTTCCACCTGGAGCCCCGTGCTCTTTGAAATATAAGTTAGGAGATCTTTATTTTCATCCAATTTTTTCTGTATCGCGTCATTGACAATTTCTTGCTCTTTGGACATTAATGGGCACGGCTTGAGCACTCGAATAATCTGGAGAGAAGAAGAAGAGACCGCTATTGATAGAAAAATCACTTCACGCCATTCACATTTGAGCAGATGGTGTAATTGTGAATGGTACCTACCTAGTTTTACATTATGAGCATTTGAGCATATGATTATTGAGCATTATGAGCATATGCCAGGAAGTCTGCAACGTTGCAAACAGAGATACGTGGTTTTGCGCATTGACCATCGATATTCGCATCTGAAGACACACGTGAACAAGATCTTGGCCGCAACATGCGGGATGATTTTGGACGCCGTCTTTTTCGCCGATGCGCATTTACATGGGAATTCAAAATAGTCTAATTTGAACTCGTTTTTGGTGGAAAATTACTATATTAAAAAAAATAGATAAGATGGAAAAATTTGCATAAACTGATGTGTCCTTTCTACTTCTCAATAATAGGTACAAGAATCAAAAATTACTGAACAAGCTTACTGATAACGTTTTGCAATACTCAAAATAGAATCGATATCTTAGTCGAATAAATAAATGAGTGGGGGGAAATGAAGCACATGCTCAAAATTTAAGAGAATTATCTCCATAATTAAAAAAAAATTAGCGTGGACAGACGCGTGATAATAGGTGCCCAAGTAGTTCAAGAGGCCACTTGCATGCAGTTCAATGGTGCACGTAGGTTCTCACAGGGTTCTTTACACGCAAAGGGCCCGCCATTGCCCCCGTGACAGACATAGTACTTACCTTCTCATTGTCGAACTTATATAGAAGTGTGTAAGTAAGCAAATGCAAAGCAAGCAAATGTACGTAAGCAAATGTTGGGTGAATTTTTGTGAGAGACGATTGAAACAAAATCAAGGTCAATTTCATTGTTCTCTACTTTCCTAAATTGATTGCGAAGGAACTCCTCTTTATCACGGGTTTTTTATTTTTATTTTTTAGGAGAACTACCTTTGAATGTTTAACTGAGTTTAGCTAGACGCTAGACATCATGAAAATTTTTGGTCATGATTCCTGGGACGTTGCCAATTTTCCTTTTTTACCACAGTCGGGGGAGAATCGGAATCCGGGAGGGAGTCTGGGAGGGAATCGGGACCCGAGAGGGAATCCGGGAGGGAATGAGGCGATTCTCGATCCGTTTATCCTTTAATGTCTTCTTTGTCTATCAATTTCAGTGATCAGCCCGCTTCATTGGCTATACCGCCTCGATGTTGTCATTTGCGAGGCCAATTCTTTTTTACATACTTTTCAGGACGTTCCGGAATGGAGAAGGATATTTAATGGATATTCGGACTGTTCGGAATGGACGTTCTATATTGAATGGAGCCTTTTCGATTTAATTCGTTAATATTTAGTCTCAGTATTCATTTTTCGCTACCCCTGTCGTCACCCTCTCACTGCGGGTGGTGTCTCCTTCGTTGGCGACAGAGGGTTTTCAATGAGAAGAGGGAGTGTTAACTCCCTGGTGGATTGTTGGAGGACCGAGGTTTGTGGCGATTAGGCGTCGCAAAACGCCAGAGAGCGCTATGAAAGCGACTCATATGTATGTATTTATTTTTCTTAAATATTGGCACCCACATACTTACGTCATCGGCATCGTCAGGCGCAGTTTGAACTGGAATCGGTTGCCAAGGTAGATCTTTATTCCAAATTTGAGTTCCGACAGGGGGATAGAGCCCCGCTAAGACGAGCTCAGCACTCATCAAACATCGATCAATTCTACTCGAACGCATCAATATCTCATGGGCCTTGTATCGAGATGACAGGAATCCTCCGTATCGTTCCCGCAAAAACTGGCCCAAGTCGTATGTAGTTACTTTCCCTTCCTGAAAGACAATTCGATGGAATACAGGAACGGGACAAATCGCCCTGGTAAAAATTGCCAGTAGAATGTGTGTTCTAAAATACTATAGACCTAAAGCCGGCTGTAAGATTTCCAATAGCTTCTGTAGCCGGCTGTACAATTTCTTATAGCCTTTCATAGCCGATGGCGATTAAGCAACAGCCGCCAGACGATGCTAAACGTTACTAATTACGGATACTAGGACTTAGTTGGTTTTTGGACTACCGCTCTCTTTTTGTGTCGTAGTATCTTGATTAATTTTGCGAGGAAAGCTCCGTACTTTTGAAGGATGCCTGTCATTCTTAATATGTTGGAGCACCTACTGTGCAATACCTCTGGTGTGAAATAGTTTCTTCCGACGCCGTGCACGCTGCGGCGCGGCGCGGCGCGGCGCGGCGGGCGAGCAGTCAACGCGAAACGCGCATTGGCGCCTACAAACCTAACAGGGATACTTCACGCATTGCGCAATGCGTGAAGTATCCCTGTTAGGTTTGTAGGCGCCAGTGCGCCGCCGCTCCGCTTTGTGTTAGGCTCTAATATTTAATCTCGTGGAGTCAGCGTTGTCCAACTCATGACTTTTACTCTCATTTTAATTGATGAAAACAAATATGTAGTAAAGGGAAATATAATGTGCGTTTTGTAAATATTATAGTGATTTCGTAAAAACTTAAGGATTTACAAAGCACACGAATTTCTACACAATTTCTTATAGCCTTTTATAGCCGATGGCGAAAAAGCAACAGCCAGGCGATAAAGTGTACAGCCCGGCGATAGAAACTATAGCCCGGCTGTATATTTTTTTATCGCTTCGTGTAGCTCGGTCGTATGATTTTTTCCACTTTCTACAGCCAGCTATTTGATTTTCTATCGCCTTCTTCAGTCGGCTTTAAGTACTCCTATGGTACTTTGAAACGCAGCTCCTATCGCCAATTTTTACCAGGGAATGTGGCGCTTGGTTCCATTGATCCTGTCGCTCCACCCTCGCCAAGTCGCGACGGCACTGAATAAGAACTTAAAAGGCTCCAGAGATTAATTGACAGTTAAATTTTAAGAGGGATAAATCGCGAATTAAGAATAACACGGATGAAGTTTGCTATCATCAAAAATAATTAATATTTAAACGATGGCTTGAAATTTTCTCTCAGGGTTCCGAAGATAGTTAAGAGCGAGCGTTTAGCATACAGAGCTAGAAATCAAAATTTTTGAACCAAACCCGATTTTATTTTTCATCGTACTTAATGGTTGAGTTTCCATTTCAAGGGGCCTTTTATCTGATAACACAACAAATGCATGTGTCTCTCGACTCTATTCGTTCAACTGATGATGCCCACGATAGCCTCATGCACTGTTGCTACACGTGTATTCACATTTCGATGGGTAAACTCCGAGAACACATTTCTCAAAATGCGACGTCAATAAAATTTCTCTCGGAATTCATTTTTCCAGAGAGAAAACAATTCTCAATGCTTCTTGAATTTTTTTCGAGGTTTCTATGTCTCTGTCGCGCTTAGTCCGTATAAATTTCAATCCATAATATTCGTTAGTATTCCTTTAAAAAAAGCAAAATATGAACAAAGATTTGAGAAGTCTGTATTGGTTCTTAGAGTTTAAGCCATCTATTTGCCTTCCAACCAAACACAGGCTTACATCTTTCCACTTTAATTATTACGCCACGACAACTGTAATTAACAGCCGCGTTGGGCAGTTCCGTTCTGGTCCAACTTCAAATGTGTGAGCCATAAGCCCTCAAGCCGCGTATAGATACCTACCCTGTTGTGTGTGCTTTGTAAAGTCTTAAAATATTTTCGTTTCCTCTCCATATTGCGTTTCCTCATGTTTGAATTATAACTGGTGTCTGCCAGCTTAGCTAAATTTCATGAGGCGCCAAATGATTTGAATAAATTACAAAAAAAGAATTACTTGTAGCAACTGCTCTGGTCCATCTACCCAAAATGCAGCATCCTTGTACGGATCCAGCGGGTAAGTTAATATTGGAGCTCTTTCTCCGTGTCTGTGAAGCTGTGGCATATTGGAATCAAAATTAAGGGTTAGAAAAATTTGTTTGATGATGCGTGATTTTGTAAAGAAGTGGAGTGCGGTAGAAAAGTATGCTCGTCCCATTATGATTCATTATAATGTTTCACTTAAAATCTACGTTTCCGTGCTAAGAAGTCCGAATTTTCCATTCGGGTTCGAAATTAATGTTAGGAAACAAAATGATCTCTCGTGCAGCAATGCGGAGTGAGATTCCATAGTTTGCGAGAGGCACATCAGAGGCTTATAATTTTGAATTGATCTGAGTCACAGATTATTCATTTATTTTTTTTTTTTTAAATAAAATACAAGAAGGCCCGATAAGTAAAAGTTGTTCTCCCAATTGGGTGAAAATCTGAAAATACTTAAATTTTATGAGACATTTTTAAAATTAATCTAATTTTAAAAATGTTTTTATATTTATATTGAGTTTGGAAATCATTTCATGGATGCAGACCTCGATGAAGTTACTCTTAAAAAAATCATCTCAAAGTTCAAAAGAAACAGAAAAAAGGCAATCGATACCATTTTAGGTTTAAATTTTTGCATGAGAGAAGGAAAAAACAGTCATCATTAACTTCATTCTTTGATACTCGAACTTGTATTTTGTGAAATATTATTTCTACCCATAGGTAAACCCCTTATTCACATTTTTCTTTTGGCAGCAGATAAAATCAACAAAACTGGGATGGTAATCAAACTTGAAAGGTATGGAATTGAGTATACTTACGATGCTCACAAATCGCACAGAGGACTCCACACGTGGACTGCTATTCATCAGTAAAAATCCAACGCAGGCGGTTGCAACGAAGAATATTAGCAGGAGGATCACAGTTAAAAACGCACCCTTTTGATGTGATTTACAAGACCTTAAAACAGATGACTTATTTTCTTTGCTACCCATTTTTATAAACGTAGATTTACTGTTTTCGAGCTAACGCCTTAAACATGTGCTGTAAATGTTAGTGGTAATAATGGAGCTAACTCTGTAAAAAATTAATCACTGCAGAGGAAAAAAGATATCAGTCAAGCCAAATGTTTCACTATCTTCCACCCTCACGTTTTTCTCCGACATCCAACCCCACGGATGAGTTAAATTATCTATAGATATTTCTTTAAAAAATGAAATAAAAATATAATCTGTATTTTTTTTTGTGCGTCAAGCAATGCTTATTATATTATTATGCGATTAAAAAGGAAAAAAAAAAAAAATTGGGCACAGGGTAAAGTGAAGAAATAACTAGGTACAGCTTTGTAGTTGACATAAAGGTACACCGTCTGTAGGGTGGTGAATAACAAAACTTTGATAGAGAAAGTACACCAATATAATCTTAAAAAAACAATCGAATAATTAAGTGTGGGCGTATCACACCGATGACGTACTTGTGTGTTTTATTTTGAACTGTCTTTAAGTCGTTGTACATTAGGTACCTAATATTTATACACCATGAACGAAACTGTCGAGTGCGTTAGTGTGTAAATATGAGCTCCCGTGCAATCCAAACGGATGATAGGTATCTGTTAGGGATCAACTAATGTAAGCGCAACATTGAGCAACCACTTCTAATATGTACCGAAACATGCAAAAGCGAAAGAGTGGTGCTCTTCAAAAACTTGAGATGGCTCAAAAAGATTTGAGTCGTGAAGTGACAATTCTTAAAAAGTTGACGGTCATACAGATTAGTCTGATCCCAGCTAAGCAGAGGATACGTCTTAGGTAAAAAGTATCAAGATCGCAGAATTTTGCGATAAAATAAGCATATCCCACATTGAATTGAATTAATTTTCGCGTGACCTGGCAACCTTTCAATTATTTACGAGGGATATTATTGAGTAGGTATCGAAGGCTTTGGAGCGAAAAAGAAATATAATGCATTAAGACACTGGTAGGTTTTTTCACATACTATTTTTCTTTACTATAATCACGTGTGCTTTTAGCAAACATTTATAAGGAAAATAATGAATTATCTCTAAAAACGAACGCACAAAACGCAAACATATCTAAACTCATTGATTGATACTCACTTAAAACATGGAGTGCGGTGCATGTTATCAACAAAGTTGCAACAAACAATGTATTTTGTTGGCCTCCAGTTTCACAAACAAGATATTCCGAGGAGTGAATTAGAATCCATTGGAGTGAGTGAAAGGTATCTCGGTCGGGATTTCCGTGATATTTCGGGAAAAATTAAGGTATATGTTGTTATGAGTGAACTCATCATAAAGTATACGACAAGGAAAATTACACTCTATGGTTCAATTTTTCGGTCGAGCTCAAAGTTCATTTTTATCATTAGCTTTTTCATAACTTCTCAGTTTCAATCGACAATAACATTTTGTCAAAATCTCAAAAATGTTACTTTAACCCTTGAATGCCCGAGGCCTTTTTTATACACGAATTTCTAGGTCGGGACATGTTGATCCGCAATCAAATACAATTGATTTTGATGGTTTTTGAAGTATTATTTATATTTTTTCTATGTTTTTGAAGGTAAGAAATACTTTTTTTAAAAAAAAATGTTTACCTTTTTGGCAACAAACTGGCACTTCCTCACTTCTCCTCCTCGTCCGCCATATGTAAATCCTGCCGGCGAAATAGTCGGGCAAATATTACCCGGCCTCGGATTTTTCGGGGTATAGTTGTAAGAAAAAAAACTCTTGCCAAAATACAATCCTTAGCCGTGCGCCTTTCAAGGCACTTGAGAGACCTCTGAACTTTTTTTTGTTTGTTTAAGTATTATTTATTTGGACACCTCATGGCATGTTTTGAGCAAACCTTGACTTCAACTTTCCTCAAACAAGTATAGGAGGCACCTCAACGCGCGTCGATGACGGCGCAGAGATACAACTATTCGTGCTTGATAGATGTCTGTGTTGCATCTGCAAAATTGAAGGCGCGACGGCGCGTGAACTTGCAATACTCCGCTCCATGCCGTCAACGAGGCTTCGCTCGCATTCAGATGAAAATTTCAAAAACGAGGCTGGATTATGTTTCTCCTATTCGGCTGTGTTGCTCTGCAACATACAATCAGGTCATTGCAAAAATGTTGTAAGAGCAACGTCCTATTGAACTTAATGCCACTCAAGAGGCAAATTCAATTTTGATCTTCAATTTTGCAGGAATTTTCGTATAAAAAGGAAGTCAAACCCAGCCTTCACACGAAAAAAATAAACGGATTACCTCATATGAAAAAGTCCTCGTGTAGATATAATTGATTTGCTTAACGTTATGCAATCACAATCACTCCTATCGAGGTATTCGGCACTCCTCATCAAAGTTTGTGATTTTCACGGACTGTAGTGCAGATGAGAAGACATCGAAATCGCACATTCCATCGGGATCGATGGCCTGCCTGTCCTCGCAACCTTGGATGTGTACAATTTCAGGGTCCTCGTCGATGCTGCCTCTCTTGTACAATATCTGAAAGACATGAGAACATAAGAGAAATTATGTAAATACGGAAATATGTTTTGGATACTAGCTAGAGGCACCCACGATCGGCCAGCTAATGGTCTTGGTAGCCCAGCGTGTGTTCGAAACGGTAATCCAGGATTGCGCGAAAGGTCTAAGAAAATATATTGACGGTGCAAATTCCATGACTCAATATATTTCCATCATCGCAAGCTTAAAAAATTAAAGGCGCTTTATGCTTTCTTAATGGCAACGCCTGGATGCAACTATTCGTGTTCAAGGGATGTCCGTGTCGCATACCCAAATAATTGCAGGCGTTCTGGCGTTCTTAATCACAAAACCTGGCTGCAGCTACTCCTGCTGAGGGATGTCTATATTTAATGCGCAATCATGGTGACCATATCAACCTCGGGCTCGGAATTCTGGTGAGCAGCGTTCCAGCGTTGCTAAGTAGTATAATTTGCAGGAAAGTTACTGGGAATGATTTGCGATTGATTGATATTTCGATGGTGTAAGTCGGCAATCACATAACTCGGTTTGCGATGTCGCAGACTTCCTGTTTTACTTTATTTTTTAAACGGGAAACTACTCAACGGCAATTCTTAAAACTGCCGTGATTTTTCTTCACTGTGCGAAGAGGATTCTGCATAAACTTCAAGGAATGATGTTAATTTGTTATCCTTAAAAAAAAAAAAAAAAAAAAAAAAAAAAAAAAAAAAAAAAAACATAGAAGCGGAGATTTTCGAACACCGCAAACGAGATATGCGATTGCGGACTTACGGCATCGATACGAGGATTACGCAAAAAAGACACAAGGATTGCGCGAATAGAAACCTTAACATCTGCTACAGGAATGCGCTAACTTAAAATGAAGTTAATTTAAAGTAGAAGTTTGGCAAAACAGGAAACAGTTGGAAAATAAACGCATTTTTGCGTAATTGCTAGTTCAGGTTACTTAAGTCATCGATGTCTTACCTTCCGATGATATATGAAGTGATAAGAGTGAAAAATGTCGTGGGTATAAAGAACTTTCCTACCTTTTCTCTGAAAAAATATTTAAGGGGGAGAAACGAGGCAACGTTGAACGTTGGAACGCTCATACGGCGTAGAGGAGAAGCCTCTTCAGCTCTAATATTCGATGCCGCGGTTATTCTAACGCGAGTTCGAATAATCGTGCCCAACTCAACTCAATGCGGCCGGCGGTAAATGTATATTAACGCCTGCAAGACTTTAGGAATACTTCACGCATTGCGCTACACAGTGCGGTCGATGTCAAGCCCATATTAGCGCCTACAAGACTGCATGAATACTTCCCGCATTGCGCCAAACGCAGTGCAGACGGTCAGTTGACGTCAAACGCATTTTAGCGCCGACAAGACTGTAGGACTGTTGTAGGACTGCGTGTTCTGGACATTGGACAACTGGACAACTGGACATTCTTGACTTTCTGTTCCTATTTTTACCATAATTAAACGGAAAATAAGTATCCTCGTTGTAACGATTCAGAACCTCGGAAGATATTTAATTTTTTTCCATATTGAAAGAAAGTAGAACAAACGAAAATATCGCGTCAAAATTTTGAGACTTTTATTTTTTTATTTGATACCTTTTAGGTAAATTCGCGGAAACTTTTCAGAAAATCCGTGTGTAGCTTCTTAAAAACATTTATTAAAAATAAAACATAAAAGTGATGCATAACGTCGCAATCAGAGATATAAATATAAGCTATCTCGCGGGTGCACCCGTCGAGATTTGAATCCATTCATCTCTTAAAAAACTTGGTCATGGTTGTTTTACGATTTTTTACGTGTAGTTTTTTTCAGTAGTTGGCGGCCGCGTATAGCGGCTACAGGCCCCTAGTTCACTTTTTAAATGTTTATGAAAGCTCTCTTGGCCATTCGTGCTGCGAGGGCTATCCATCGAAGAGAGACATGCCCGAAAGTAAGGAGGGAATGAACAGTCTTCCGCGATGTAGTTATCTACCACAAACCTCCAGGGTTGCCAGATTAACGCTTCCTCGTTGAATACTGAATATTCGCGCAAACGTGTGAGTTTTCAGTGCCAAAAAAATTCACGCAATCAGGAATGCATCTCCAAAAAGGTAAAAAAGGAGGCATTCGCACAATCCTAGCGCAGCCGTTCGCAACAATCAATTTGCCCTCGAAACTGCCAAAAACTTAGTCAGACAAAATGAACCGAACGGCTTGGGAATCCCACTAATTGTTTGTAGCTGTTTGATATGTTTGATCTTTCAAAGGGAACTAAGCTCAGAGGTGAACAATCTTTTGACTCTGGGTGGGAAGGGCCTCCCAGTATTGTTAGTAATCTGTGGTTAACCATCCTTGTAAATTTTTGCTCGATTCACTGGCTCCGGCAGAACTAGAAAAGCTTGTCGAAATAAGCAGTTAATTCCAACGCTGAACGATCTGACAACGATATCTGTTTTCATTTGCTCTTCAAAACGCTGAGCAAAGGAAGGAAAACACAAAAAACAAGGAAATAAAAAAGAGAGAGAGAATAGGAACAATTAAGAGATATGTTTTGATTAAGTTGAGAGGTGATCACTATTCATTGCTCTATCGCTAATTGACACACGATGCGCAACCGAGAGAGCGACGATGAGCGAGCAATACAGCATCACTTATTGGCGGGTTCAGCAAATTGGCAACATTGTTTTTTTCCCTTTAAACCTATAAAGATGTATCGATTCTTGGAGGGGCCAAGTGCTCCAGCAAGAATCGATTATTTAACATAGGTTTAAATGGAACGAATCCGGTGTTGCCAAATTGCTGGATCCGCCTCTGGGATCACACGGCCTGTCATTAACCTGATGTGGTTCGACTACCGTGACACCTCTTAAAGTATAAAGCTGGACTGATTGCATGACGTTTCCGCAAAATTTTGAACTGGTAAAGTTTTGCCACGAAGCTCCTCATAGGAAACGTACGCACGTACAATCATTGTAAATATTCTTCAAATCATTACTAGTAACTTTGCGAATCTTAATACTTGGTAATGCTGCATTGATGCTAGCAGCTCACCATGATTGCACATTCAACATAGACTTCCCTTAAGCAAGAGTAGCTGCAGCGAGGCCCATGTGATTATTAACGCCAAACGCCTGCAATTTTTTGTGTATGCAACATGGACATCCCTTGAACACGAATAGTTGCATCCGGGCGTCGCCATGAAGAACGCATGCAGCGCCTTCAATGCTTCAAGCTTGTTGTGTTGGAAATATGTTAATTCATTGAATTGCAAGTCGACATTGCACAGACATAGAGTATAATCCGACTATTCGAACTGTCATAGTAGGTACCACAAAGAAGACGTGTAAATAACATGAAGACTCGTTATTGCAGATAGCACTCATTTAATTTCCTTTAACTGTTCTTTCCCTTGCATTAATCTTCTATTTTACTTTCATTTTAAATTTTTTACTTCATTTTTTTTTAGGAATATTTACTTGTCTTTTCAACGATTATGGTCGAAAAATGCGAACCTCCGATTGCAACGTTGCTAATCTCCGTTCACGTTTTATCTTTATTATTTTTTTCTAGAAAAAAAAAGTTATTTGTGAATTTTCTTTCCTCTTAAAAAATACGCACAGGAAATTTCAAAGAGATACTTTGGTCAGTGTTCTATGGAATGAATGAATAAAATGATTTTAATTTTTGTGACGCAAAAATAGAGACGCGTTTTTACTTCGCAATTTTCTTATGGAAGCGTTATCGGCAAAAATGGAACGGATTTAACATTCACAAAATTTTAGCGGAGACGGAATCGATAAAAGTTGCCTGCAGTGGTGTTATAAACGGGCGAAACTATCACTATATTCTTTGACTCAATAACCTATTTACATCGATGAGATAGGGTAAGCTTACAGCCTCTTATTTCTCTCTTATTTGCTTGGTACTTATCGCGATATCGCAATTCCACCAGTTTGTGTTAAAGCCAAGTCCTCTTTTAGTCATAGAGAAGATAATGGTATTGAAAAAGCGAAACCTCGTATCTCCGTTTGCGATGCTGCATCTTCTCGCCATACTTTAATTTATCGTTGGATTACTATAGTCAACGTAATTTTTCAAAAACTTTCTTGATTTTTCTCTTCTGCGAGCAGAAGATTCCGTACAAATTTGCGCAGTAATTTGAAATACTGGATATTGTCTTTCTAATTTTCTCAGTGACCATAGTAATAAATTTTCAATAATCAGTGTGTTTTCAAGTCCGTGGTGTTTATCAAAAGAAAATACAAATGCAAAAATAATCGAACAAACGAAAAACAGAATAAATGAACATAGTGATAAGATTTCGTAAAAAGGGTCTCGAGAAAGGCTGACCATCTTTTTTACTCAGAATCACTTTGCTTCAAAGGAAGGATCGATGTAATTTGAGACAAGCATGCTCTTATGGGTAGAATTAGTTTCATGGTTTCCTACTATTTTCTGCCCAAAAAAAATCGTTGCTCTTTGGCTGCAGCCTCGAGGCACCGTTTGAGGTGACTGCGTGACTGCGGAACTCACAAGGAGTCGACATTTCGCCTTCAAAGACTCGTGTAGGCAACATTAGCAACTTAGGAGCCTCATTAGTTTGCTCGTTCACTACCAAATGGCTTAATTAGACGGATAGAACCCAGATCAGCTTAAATACACCAGCAGGCCGATTATTGGAATTGATAGACAAAGCTATAGACAAAGAAGACAAAAGGGATTTGGAGGCACTCTACTGTTGGAAGCGGGTGGGTGCAATGAACAAATGAGGTAGGTAATAGACTAATTAAAGGCAACTCACGAGAGAACCCTATAGTTAGTCCATCATTTTCTCCCTTAGTCTATAGGAACCACCCATTTCACCCGATAGGATCGCTCTGTACTCCCTATGTCTTCTTTTTCTATAGCTTTGTCTATCAATTTCAATAATCGGCCCGCAGGCAAGGGCCAAATCTCCTTCCACAATTCACTGTCTTTGATCGAGCAAGACGCAATCTGACTTTAAATTTTGAGTAAATATGTATTTTTTGTATTCCATGGAAAATTCAAGAAACGTTTTGGTACTTTATGTTGTTCAGTTTACCGTTAAAAAAATAAATCACGAGAAAAAAAGTAGGCATACAATAGAGATACGCCCTTACGTCAGAGGAGCGACGATTTCTGTCGCATTTTGTATGAATGGTCCTAAAACTTACTTTTATTCGGTGTTTGTCCTTGAGCTCGTGCAATTCGAATATCAAAGCGGCGCCATAAGGAGGGTTGTCTGTGATTTCTTGACTGATATTCAAACCATGCCAGACACGCACTAACGTCAGGTCATGCGCGGAGTACAAATTCAAACGCCGTTCAAAATTTTCTGGTGAATCTATTTTACGTCTCATACTCAGTAACAGCTCATTGATGAAAACACCTGTTGAAACATCAGGAGGCCGGACTAAATATTAAAAAATTACAGGAGTGTCGTTTGGTTGAAGGCAACAAAATTTGAAAATCAGCTTTTAAGTGCAACTTTGATTAATCTTAGCGGTAGATTCCTGTAGAGATTCTGAAGTTTAATCCCTATCCTCGACGATTCTGCGACGTATAGATGCGTAACATATCTTTTACCTTTATAATTGTAGTTTGATCAACTTTTCGGTATGAACAGTTTACAATTGCGCATGACACGACTCAATTTTTCAAAATGTTCCCGGAGAAACCCCATTTTGACCCTCTTTTGAAGCTAGGAAAATCCTGCAAACCCTCCATTGGAGCCAGGCTACTCCCATAGATCTATAATAGATCCCCTCCCGTTGGACTCGGACTGTCTTTGAGGGCCCCCAGGCCCTACAATATTCAGGGCCTTTAAAAGGTGGATGGTCACTGGTTTCATAAACTTTTACTCACAAAAAACCTCTATACCAATATTCATTGTTGTATTTATTGAAAATCAAGAAAATAAGAAAAGTACCTGAGCTAAGTTTTATCATGAGAGGAGTTGCAAAGTCTTCAAGGTATCGTATTTTGGCAAGTGCTTTTAATTTATCAGGATAGATATCTTTAGCCCATTCCGGCAATGGCAATCCCTCTTGGTCCTGTTGATGTATAAAGGGGAAGAAAACAAAGATCACATCCTCTGGTCAATAATGTCCTTAGGATACGTCGGTGAGAAAACAGGAGGATCGAATACCTTTGATCGATCGAGGTAAGTCGGCAAAAGCATCTGATAAATATCTCAGATTACACAAGTTTTTGAATTTTTGAAATTTTTTAAGTATATATCAATATATCATCCACCTTACTGCTTGAGGTCGGCAGGTTTGATCCCCAATATAGGTAGAAAAATTTCAATCACTAACTTTTCATACCAGAAGAGCCTCTTAAGGTCCCCATTTTTTTCATTTTTGGGGATTTTATGAAAATATTGTTCTTAACCCTGGGAAAAATTGGCAGTAGAATCTGTGTTCCAAAATACCATAGACCTACAGCCGGCTGTAAGATTTCCAATAGCTTCTATAGCCGGCAACACAATTTCTTATAGCCTTTTATAGCCGATGGCGATTAAGCAACAGCCTGGCGATAAAGTGTGTGCTAAACGTTACTAATTACGGATGCTAGGACTTGGTGAGTTATTGTGCTACCGCTCTCTTTTTGGGCTGCAGTATCTTAATTTAATTTGCGAGGAAAGCTCCGTACTATTTCCTGCCTGGATTCCTGCCATTCCAAATATGTTTGAGCGCCTTCAATTTCGTATGATACTGTGCAATACCTCTGGTGTGAAATAGTTGCTTCAAGCACCGCGGTACGCTGCAGCGTGGCGGGCGGGCAGCCAGCGCTGAACGCGCATTGGCGCCTACAAACCTAACTGGGATACTTCACGCATTGCGCAATGCGTGAAGTATCCCTGTTAGGTTTGTAGGCGCCGGTGCGCCGCTTTGTGTTCGGCTCTAATATTTAATCTCGCGGAGTCAGCGTTTTTCAACTCATGACTTTGAAATGTTTGCACACTCTGTATGGATTATTCTCATTTTAACTGATGAAAAAAAATATGTAGTAAAGGAAAATATAATGTGCATTTTGTAAATATTAAGGTGATGCCGTACAAACTTAAGGATTTACAAAGCACATGAATTTCTACACAATTTCTTATAGTCTTTTATAGCCGATGGCGAAAAAGCAACAGCCAGGCGATAAAGTGTACAGCCCGGCGATAGGAACTATAGCCCGGCTGTATAATTTTTTTTTCGCTTCGTGTAGCTCGGCCGTATGTTTTTTTCCACTTTCTACAGCCAGCTATATGATTTTCTATCGACCTCTTCAGTCGGCTATAAGAACTCCTATGGTATTTTGAAACGCAGCTCCTATCGCCAATTTTTACCAGGGAAAAATAGTCATTATTTTTTCAGTTAAGGGGAGGGGGAGTTGGTTACTACAAGAAATTGAACAATAATGTTAGTTCAACAATGTTACACTGTTAATCGGAGTGAAATGTTGTCGTCAGCATCATTTCGACGGCTGAAGTGCGAAACCACGTATCTCCATTGCGGTGTTGCAAAATTTCCGCTCGTATTTTAATATATCTCGAGGAAAAACAAGGCGATTTTATAGTTTGAAATTATGCAAGATATTCTGCTGACACGAAAGAAAATCAAGGAAGTTTTCAATATTAAGTTGAACAGTTTTCCATTGAAAAAATAAAATGTGACAGGAAGTCTGCAACTTCGCAAACGGAGATACGTGGCTCTGCACTTAAGCCATCGATTTTTTTCTCCTCAAGTTCTTAGGTATACTAACTCAATTCAATTGAAGCGTAATGCGTAGGTACTTACATATCGATGGCTAAATTGCGGAATCACGTATATCCGTTTGACGTTACAGACTTCCCGTCATACCTCGTTTTACCTTTGAAAATCAAGTCATCATAATTTATTGAAAACTGCCTGAATTCTTCCTCTCTAGTAGCAGAATATTCTGTATGAATTTCAAGCTATGAAGTCGGCTCATATTGCCTCCAAAAAAGTAAAATTGGAGCTCAAATTTTCAAACACCGTGATGGAGATACGCGGTTTCGCACTTTGGCCGCAAATATTTGAACTCCTCTGCCGTTCTGGAGGAAAAACGACGTATGAACATTCGAAAGTTGCCACATTTTCCTCGATAAAGCATGTGTTTTTGACGACATTCATACATATTTTTCCTTGGAATTTTTAGATATTTTAGAATAAATTGCGTACAAAATTGTTTGAACATATTGGAAAAAAATATTAAAAATTTTACCAGTTAATTCGGTTTTTAGTGAGGGAAATCTGGCAGCGTCTAAAGGCTCATACGACGTTTTTCTTTAGCACGGCAGTCCTCCTCCCGAGAAAAATGCTCGATTCACGAGACAAAGTTCTATAGTATGCAAAAAGAATAAGAGGGAAGGAAGGAGTGAGGGAATAATAAAATTGTGTAGGAGTCAATAAACTCTTGAGCAATCTATAGATAGTGACCACGAAAGACAGAGCGAGAATCCTTGAAGTTCCATTTCTCAGCTCTTTACTTCACGGATCAGAGAATACACTCACATTCAGTCGGTAACTCAGATCCTTTCAAATTTATTATCAGGGGTAGTTAGCATTTGTTTTTCGTGAGTGCTGTTGAATTGCTGATTTTAGGCATGTGTAAACATTATCAGACCATTTGCAAAAACGATGTACCTTTTCTTTAAATCGCTTGGAAATAAGATGAAGGCTCTTGGCCTCAGCGAGTTTTTCGATTGTTTATTTATGGCCACGCCTGCCTGATATTTACATATCACGCGCGCGCATTATATCGTGCGAATACAAGCCTGATCCACGTGTCCGAGGATAATGACATCAAAAGTATTTTATTATTTCAAGAGATAATGTTTGAATCATTCGAGAGGCGCGAAAAACTGAATGATAATCACAAATTGTAAACCTAAATTTGAGATGGGAGTAGTTTTCAGTTGTGCTCATTGCAAATCGCGTTTTTGGATCGGAGATGCTCGCGATGCATAAAGGCTTGCCACTTAAGATCTGAAAATGTGTACACGGGCACAACTTTTTGTGTGTTTTCACGTGATTAGCACGGTCCCCCTCCCAAAAAAAAATTTTTTTGTTTACAATCCCCCCTTCCCCACTCGCAACTTTGCCATATTCGTATAGCTATAGCGACTCGCACTCATTGCAAATCCAGTGTTTTGCTAATCAAGGCTATAGGCGAAGCACAAATGCGTTCCGTTAAATACAAAGCTGAAAATTTGTCTACAAGCGCAGCTTTTTGCGTGATTAACACGGCTTTCCCCTTAAAAAGTACTCACGACCCCTTTTTTGTAGCAACTTTGCGACGCAACAAGTTGTCAGCTTCATTGGTGGAAGATTACACGGTGCGCTGTTCATCAAAAAATGTAAAGTATCGATTCCAATATTTAAACTAAACGCCATTTCTTGAAACTATACGAGGGTCATCTAGTAAGGTATCCCGGTAATTTTCTCGCGAAGAAATAGTGCTGGAAAATAACTAAGTTTACCGTTGAATTCACTACATGCACGGCTTTAATTTAAACCCAATATGTTTAAAATTGGTTCAAAATGCAGGAATCATTGCAAAAACTCCAACACGGTGCAGAAAAGTAGGCGTGCCAACAAGCGGGAGTTGCTTGACGCATGGAGACATATTCAAATCTATATCATATTCATCATGCTGACTCATACTAGGGATCACCAAGACGGCAAAATGCAGGAATCACCCTAGAGCAGCGCAGAAAAGTAGGCGTACCTACAAATGCGACTTGCTTAACGCATGGAGACCTCATTTTTTTTTAAAATTTGCTCATGTTGGACCACATCAGATATTTTTAGATCTTCAGCGGCACACATTTGTGTTATCCTAGTAACTACGATTGGCGAAAAAAACGATTTGCAATGAGCACGGCTGATTTCAGTTACAAGTGCGGCTATATTAAGATATAAAAAAAGAGTATTCGAAAATTTGTTTAAGGAAAACTGTTCTCACCACGTGAAACTGTGGTAAAAGTTGTGCATTTAGACACATTTTCAGACTTTTAGCTGCCCGTGTTCATACCTTATTACGGGGCCTGCCCGAAAACGCGATTTCAGCTCCAGTCGGTAATCAAATTTCGGGACCTCAAGAAATGAAAATTATTCGCCGGACTTTTTCATGGGCTTTAACGCATCCTAAAGAATGTGTTGGACACCGCTGAAACGGTCACTTTGACCGTATTGCCTGCCTTATTACGCCTGGAATTTCGCTACGAGCGTTATCTATTTGACACAGAATATTCTCCGGGAATTTGAAGCAATAAGTCTAGAAAGTCATTCTGTTAATACTTAATACTTAACGAGGAATACGATAAAAAATTGGGAAATATTTTCAAATTGATGATTGAACAAACCACAGCTTGGAGATTGTCATAGATATGATTGACGTCCCTCTCAGTTTTAACATCAAGGCCAGTCACCTTAGAAAGATAGGCGAGGAACTCTTGATGTTCATTTAATTTCTGTCTTATGAAAATCTTTCGTTGCTCTCCTTCTTTTCTTAAAAGTGGGCAGAATTTAGACACTCGCAACATCTGCAAAATGAGAATGATTCACAAATTAGAAAAAATTCCAATTTTTAAGCATCAAAAGTTAGTTTGAACCTTCTTTCCTCCATAGGGATGCATGTAATTTCAAAACTTCAAACACGTATTTCTCCAAACAGCAAAAACTGCACGCATGCGCCTTGTCGTTGTCAACCCCTGAATTGTAAGTCAAGGGGTGATTCATGTCATTGGTACGTTGTTTTTTATCGGGCTTAAGAGGTGTCCGTGTTGAATCCACCCAAAATTGCAGGCGCTCTCGGCTTTCTCAGTTACAACTCGACGCACAGCACGGCTGCAACTATTTGTGTGCAGTTGACGTCTGTGACGCATATTGATGGTGAAACTAATATCTCAATTTTCGACAATGTTGAGTCAGAAAAAATATTTTTTAAAGAACCCGGACAATCAATCTAGGTAATGTAATCGGGTAACAGTGCCGGCAAGTGGCAAAAGTTATGCTTAAAGGACGACGCAAGTTTTCATTAAATGGTGATCGATGAGCAACTGATGAACATAAAATTTTCCACATAATGACCGATGAATGTTGCGGTGAGCACCTTGCTTTGCAAAATTTTTCAAATATGGTCGAACATTCTAAATTAATTGCTCAACTCTTCGGAGATCAGTTAGACTTCATTTTTCAATTCGGAATTACAATTCTGGCTCATCCGTAAAATCGCTAATATACATATGGAAAGTAATGGTACATACGTTGTTTCTAAACTGAGCCAGAAATTATTGTAGTTCCGAATTGCAAAATGTAGTCCAGTTATCAGCTATCACCAGGCGAATCAGAGAGTATTTGAAAATAATATCGACACTATAAGGAAGATAGCAGTGAAGAGCCTCTAAAATATAGTGTCTCTAGTTGAGGTAGTGGCGTAAAATTCAGTGGCGAGTTTGCAAGTTGGCGGCGATGTTTTTCCTCCATTGAAATCAAATTCAATCCATTCAATATCGATTTACATGAGGCAAACTGCCTCACCAAGAATCGATTGTTTTACATGAATTTAAGGGGGGGACCAACAGTGTCGCCAACTTTCAAGAATCGCCACCGCATAAAATTAACTGAGGGGGTTCCCTTTATCCATTATCAAAATGTTTAAAAAAAAAATTAAAATTAAAATTAAAATAATAATCAGAAATTTGTCCAAAAACGCAATTAAAAACTGTCATTAGACTGATTTTTACGAATACAACAAGTATTTACAGTGTTGCGAGCGCGAGTGTTGAAGGAACAGATCACTTACGTCATCGGTGGATGGAGTGGTAGAATGAACCGGGACGGGTTGCCAGAGGAGGTCGGAATTCCAAATTTGGTTTTTAACAGGAGGGTATAGCCCGGATAAAACAAGCTCTGCACTCATCAAAGCCCGGTCAATGAAAGTTGATAGGACGTGGACGTCAGCCGGGTTGTACGCGGAGGGAATGAATCCATCGTAGCGGCGCCTCAAGAAGATTCCCAGCCTGTGCATATTCACTTTCCCTCTCTGGGAGAAAAAGACGGATTTAAATTCATCAGGCATGAACAAATCATTAGGTTACAGAGGAAGGATCCTGCATTCAGTACACGAGCACCTTTGAGAGCGACTTAAGAAGCGAGAGGCAAATGAGGGCTAATGGGGGCAATACACTGTTTTGTAAATTTGATCTTCAATTTGACAAAACTTCCTGAAATTATTATGCATAAAAAGCATTTTTTAATCAATGGAAAAATCAGTCATCAGGTAAAATGTTGAGCCTTTGCAGTGCAATAATCAAGCCCTTCTACAGGCCTGAGAGCATTATTTGAGTGGCTTGGAGGACAAGGCGCATAAGTGCAGTTCTTGGTATTTCGAGAAATACGCATTTGATGTTTCGAAATGACATGGATCCTTACGGCGGAAAGAAAGTTCAAAATGACTTTTTGATGTTTTAAAATTGGAATTTGGGAGCGAATTGTTCACAGAATATGCATTAAGACAATTTTCACTTAAAATATCATTGATTTTTCAATTTTTTTAAAAACTGCACTTATGCGCCTTGTCCTCCACGCCCCTCAATTCAGCTCAGCAGGCCACTTCCTTCATCCCCAGATAGCCGAGGCTTTGACAAATAGCAAAAATTTAGGTAGAAATTGAGTTTTCCTTCAATTTGTTGCGTATGCAATTTGAACTACCCTGGCGTTAAAATATTTGTATCGCGCCCCTTATGTTCATTTTTCAGGAAGCCCATGAGTAAATCAAAGAAGGACTCGCGAGCATGGACTAGCGTGTTACGTATTCCCTTGCGTACCTGTAAAAGTGCCCCCGGTCCCTCCGGCCAAAATGTTTCTCCTTTGTATGGATCCAAGGGATACGAAATCTCCGAAGATCTATCTCCATGCCGATGAACCTGAAACAGTCAATAAAATAAAATGATGTAAAATTAATGCTGTTATGGACTGAATATTGTATGGATTTGTCGATTAAAGAGGTGTACCTACCTAGCGATTTATTTCAACTATGGTAAAATCGATAGAGGCTTTGTTATTGTTCAGATCAGATTCACTGTAATTGATACCTGCTTCATTGAAGAATCCTTACAATGATGCCACACTTGAGCTTGTCTCGATCGAAAATAAAAACAAGGCATAAAGAGAATACCTCTATATTTGTCACATTGTATATTTTCTGTTGCATTTTTTAGGGCCGGATTTGACTCTTTGCCGCACTATATGCGCACGTCTAGCCCTACCGGCCCGTGCCAAAAAGTTTTTACCATAGTATTTTTTCCTGTTTCTAATAGGCTTCTAAAGTCAAGAATATCAGGATCCTCTCCTCTTCTCTCAATTTGCGCCACTAAGTGCCTCAAATTGATTACATGAGGGATTGACATTTCAAATTGAATTTAAAAAGGCCCCCTTAACTCCCCTTTACTGGATAATTTCACCATTATACCTCTTATCTGAAGAACCTTGGTAAAAATTGGCAGTAGAATCTGTGTTCCAAAATACCATAGACCTACGGCCGGCTGTAAGATTTCCAATAGCTTCTATAGCTGGCTACACAATTTCTTAAAGCCTTTTATAGCCGAATTAAGCAGCTCACAGTCAGGCGATAAAGTGTATGCTAAACGTCACTAATTACGGATGCTAGGACTTCGTGAGTTTTTGGACCGCTGCTCTCTTTTTGGGCCGTAGTATCTTGATTTATTTTGCGAGGAAAGCTCCGTACTTTTGATGGATGCCTGCCATTCCTAATATATTAGAGCGCTTTCAGTTCCGTATGATACTGTGCAATACCTCTGGTGGTGAAATAGTTGCTTCAAGCACCGTGGCACGCTGCGGTGCGGCAGGCGGGCAGCCAGCGCGGAACGCGTATTGGCGCCTACAAACCCAACAGGGATACTTCACGCATTGCGCAATGCGTGAAGTATCCCTGTTAGGTTTGTAGGCGCCAGTGCGCCGCCGCTCCGCTTCGTGTTAGGCTCTAATATTTGATCTGGCGGAGTCAGCGTTATTCAACTCATGATTTTGAAAGGTTTGCACATCCTGTACGGATTATTCTCGTTTTAATTGATGAAAAAATATGTATTAAAGGAAAATATAACAAGTGTTTTGTAAATATTAAGGTGGTTCCGTATCAAACTTAATGATTTCCAAAGCACACGAATTTCTACACAATTTCTTATAGTCTTTTATAATCGATGGCGAAAAAGCAACAGCCAGGCGATAAAGTGTAAAGCCCGACTATAGAAACTATAGCCCGGCTGCATAATTTTTTATCGCTTCGTATAGCCCGGCCGTATAATTTTCTTCGCATTCTACAGCCAGCTATATGATTTTCTGTAGCCTCCTTTAGCCGGCTATAAGAATTCCTATGGTATTTTGAAACGCAGCTCTTATCGCCAATTTTTACCAGGGAACTGCACTTGAAGAAAGCGCGCGCCATATGCTGCGCCTTCGGGCTGAAAAATCTTGAAGTCAGCCTTGAGTTTAATTTTTTGGAGAGGAAAAATAGTTTATATTCATCAAGATTTTGAAATACTTTTTTTTCTTCCCGTCACAAAGAATTTCAGGCTGGTAAAAATACAAAAAAAAAGAAATATTAACTTGCGCATTTTCCTCGTACTCCTTTACGATTACTCCTTAAAATTGGACGTATTTCTGTCAAACGGAAATCAGCGCCATAGGGTGAGGAAGGTAGAGGGGGGCTTGGATTGGCGGCGAAACCGGGCCTCGGGCTCATTCCGTCCTATACTCGCAATGCTTTTCCATGGCGCTTAGTTCCGTTTGACAGAACGCGCTATCCGGCATTCTAAATTCCTCAAAAGGAACTCAAATTGGCGCTTAGTTCCGTTTGACAGAAATACGTCCAATTGCATAAAGAATTGTAGGCTGGTTGAAAAAAAAAACAAAATTGCACATAAAAACCACAAAAAACATTCATAAAATATAACAGTGAAAGTATATGAAACACCGCATTTGATCGAATGTGGAATTCGATCGAGTAAAATCAGCAGTGTAAAAAAAAAACAAACAAATTGATACGTACTTACGATGCTAACAAACCGTAAAGAACTACCGGCTTTAGAGCTTCCCCCGAAAAAATAGAAACTAGCACACGCAATGACACCGATAACTAATACAATAACAAGTGTGGGCACCGAGAACACACTCTTTCTCAAACATTTTTTGTTATCACTTGGTCTTTCCATGTTATTTCACTCGGACGATGCAGATGCAAATCAAAACTTTAAATTAAAAAACTCATCTGTGAACTCGTAATATTGGCTCAAAAATGAGACATTACTAGCTCCCCAAAATTAAATTAAGGTCATCAATGGGGCCAATTAACCTTCGCTATGGAATCAATTTTAGAAGTACCTAGCGAGCGAAACTATTCGGTGGAATGTTTGTAAATGTGAGTGCTGGGCACTCAAGGAGCTTGTGATGGAAATTGAAATTGATAAGTAGGTATTCTACTTTGAAATCATGGGCGTTGGAAAAGGGTGGGGGCTGGGTGCCCCCCTTAGAATTCCTCTGCCACCCCGCTCCCCCCCCCCAACAAGAATTCCTAGCTACGCATATGCTTGAAATCGGATATTACCTACCTACTCAGGAAAAAAATGAGCAAATAAATATTTTTCCATACGCAAAAACCTAATTCACCCGCCTTTATTAACGCTACTTTGTGCCAATCATTAGCATAAATAATGATCTAAACGTTCTTATCGGGTTGCAATTTTGCTCGTTCAAATCTGACAAGAGGGTACTCATGCAAACTTGTCAAGGGTCACTGTAACGGGCGGGAAGCACTGCTTCAGGAGGTGATTACGTATGGAAGTACGTGGGCTGGC